ATTTAAGGTATACAGTATAATGACATTCATCATTGGAAATTTGCACCTTTACATAATCCATCTTAGTTCTTATTTGTCCCCATTCCCCTGTCCTCCCTTCAACCCCTCCACCCCTTCCTATCTACAAGGACTTTGTTTCCATTTTTTCTTCTCCCTCCATTTCCTGATCCCTTTCCCCTTTGAGAAAGATCTATCTCCCTACCTCTGGTTTATTGTATACTTCTCTAGTGTATACTACCTCAGATATAGTGCAAGTATCCTACAGTGACATATTTCTATTGTTTCTCCACCTGAATTATACAATTGTCATATACTATTCAAGGGAAATTATTTTCAGATAACTATATATTCAGATGCAAATATAAGAGTAATTACAGTGGGAAAAAAAACACTTCTGCAAGAATACCAGTCAACAATAGCCTGTCCAACCTTGAGCTGGCACCCTCCTTGTTAATGATCCTGGTAACCAAGGATTAGGGCTTCAAAATAACCTATGTCACGTCCCTCACTTTACCATTAGACACTGCCCTTGCAGCAACATTCTTGAATATGCATAGATTATATGGCACGAATAATCCTATTAAAATACTACTGCCAAATCAATTTACTAATCTTTGAAGAATCACTCTCTGTTTGAGAGTGTTTGTTAGCTAGGAAAGTGCACGGGTAGAAAAACCTGGAGTACTTCACATCACCTATGAAAATCTTAATTTATAAAGTTCAAGTTTCATTACAACTCCTTTGAGGTTCTCAAATATTACTACTTCTCCATTCACTCCTCCCATCCCTCCATTTTTCTTTTGTTAAATCCAATCTCTGTCATGGTAGTTTTCTACTGCTTCTAGAATAAATTGCCACAAATGTGGTATTTGTTATATCATTCTAGATGTCAGAAGTCTGACACAGTCTCACTGGGCTATTTCAAGGTGTCAATAGGATTGCTCCTTTCTGGGGGTTCTCCTTGATAATCTTTCCTCTTCCAGTCCTCGGTTTATAGCTCATTTTCTCCATCTTCAAAGTCGACCACAGAGCATCTCCCTGACCCTTCTCCCATCATCACATCTCTTCCAGTTGCAGCCTTGGAAGGTTCTCCACTGTAAATAATCCTGTAAATTATCCTGGGCCCACTCCGATAATGCAAGAGAATTTTCCCATTTGAAGAAGCTT